TCTAATGACAGTTCCAAATAAGCTGGACCTTTGGAAAGGAGAATACTAGTTGGGCACTGAAATGTGGATGCTGTAGTGAGTAGCAGCAATGGAAGCAGATTCCCTTCCCTTAGCGATAGAATATTTCTGCTTAAGACATCTGCCAAAAGATTTATATTTCCACTTAGATGGCTGTGCTTGAAAAGAATGAGGTTCTGCTCCCCTCAGATGAGCAGAAAGCTGGACTACTTGGCCCCCCAAGTCTCTAACTCTTATGTTGGCTCCAAACACAAAACTGTTGACCCAAATTGATTCTGGTTTCTCTATTGAGGGTGCCCCCCCCAAAAAAAAAGGAGACTGCAGACAGCTCTGAGCTCCAGTTTATTTCTATGAACAGCAGTATCTTTTCCATGACCTTTGACAATCTAAGCAAGCTCCAGCTGACTGCTGCCAAGTCATGACCAGAGCACAGTCCTGAAGCAACCAGGAGAGGTAAGTTGTCACAGAAAAACGATCACAGACCATTTGTCACTGTCTGACATTGTTTGTGGGACTGCCTTTTGATGGGGAAACAATTAAAATTTTGAATGATGGAAGAAGCCTCAGAAGTCCAACAAAGCTGGATGCCTTTGTTAACAAACAAGAGAGTCCAGAAACAGTTGCCTTGGGTTTTAGTGGCATTTTTGGCACTAGAAAAAAACCAAATCATTTGTCCTTGGCTGTTATGAAGCATGAAGAAAGTAAGATCCCTGAAAGGGAACAGAAGACTCTAAGACTGATGGATTTCAGGATCTGATCCAGGATTTACTTCATTACCAAATGTCTTGCCAGAAGGAAGGAACAGTTAATCAGCCAACTACCTATGGAAAGAATTAACATTGTGTCTTAGTGGGCAGCTAATTACTGCCACTGGCAATACTAATGTTCAGCAGAAAGGGTGGGTGGGTGAAATATGGTAGAGCTGATTTGACTTCCAGATGTAGTTTGCTTTAAAGGCAGTTCTAGTGGGGAACAAACAAAAAGATGAGGAATTAACGGAGTATTCACAAAATAAGGTATCCTATTTTGTAAGATAACCCTATCTTTTACTAGCAAGTCTATTAAATGAGCTTTTTGTCGGAACAAAGTCCTGATCTGTTGCTTTCTGGTTTTTTTATTCAACATACCCTTAAATAGGAAGTGCCTTAGAACAATCATTAGAGATACAGATGCTCCCTCTTTACTCTGTTTTGATCAAAGGGTTTTATGTTCAGTTATCTGAACAAGCAGTCTTGTTTTCAACAATCTTGCTTACTCTTTGCTTCCTAGACTTTATTTTGCAAATGAATCTGGAGATCTCATCTTTCATATTATACTTGGAAAAGTGAAAATGTAAACACCTGAAAATAAAAGAATGTTTCAGAAGATGAGAAACAAACTTCTGTAACTTGGCAACACAGCCAATTAAAATGGCAATTCTTATCACACTATTTTATATTTCCTGTGTCCTAAATATAAATTCTCAGAGGGAAGAGAGTAGAAATCTCAAATGAAGCCTTCTTATGCTAATTCACAACAGTCAATACTGCTGTTTTTCATAGAACCTTAGAATTACTCAGGTTGGAAAAGACCTTAAAAATCACCAAGTTCAACCACAACCTAACCATACTACCCTAAGTCTGACAACCCCCCACTAAATCATGTCCCTAAGCACCACATTCAAATGGATTTTAAACACATCCAGGGATGGTGACTCCACCACCTCCCTGGGGAGCCTATTCCAGTGCTTAACAATGCTTTCTGTAAAGAAGTTTTTCCTGATATCCAACCTAAACCTCCCCTGGCACACCTTGAGGACATTTCCCCTCATCCTGTCACCTGCCACCAGTGAGAAGAGACAAGCCCCATTCTTGCTTCAATCATTTTTCAGGTGTTTCAAGAGAGAAATATGGTCTCCATTCTGCCTCCTCTTTCCCATGCAACAATTTCCCTGTGATTTAAGCACATGTTCTTCAACATGATTGTTGACATGAAACATAAAGGTAAAAAACCATATTCAAATTACTCTCAGAAACCTCTGAGACGAGTCAACCATGGGTGTATGTTCTACAACAAATTTGACTGAGTGAGTTAAAGGACCACTTACATTTAATGACAATCATAAACTACAGTTTCATTATTTCTCAGGATATTAAAAAAAAAGTCAAAAATCTAGTAGCTTCAGGAGCTTGTTCAGTGCTGTTATAAAAAAGTTGGTGAGTGCATGGAAGAGTAATACCAGCTAAAGAATTGCAGATGACATTTTCATATGGAAGCAGATGGTTTGGCTACTGTTCAGATGACCTAATTCTGAGAATCTTCAAGTTGGAAAGTAGACTTGTGATGTTCTGTACCAAAACTCAGTGTGCAATACAACTGAATGCTAAGCAGAGCAATAAACTGATTAAAGGAATAAAGTACTTACTGGCATTATGTTATTATTAGCTTTGGCAAGTATCAAACACTGGCCAAACGTAAAAATGATTCAAATTCATTGCTTTTGACCTTGTAATAAATAAAAGCATTCCAAAAACCAAGCTAGACTAAAATATTAAATCCTGGCTCCCAAGGAGAAAGACAGCTCATAGTGAAGTGATTCTATAAGCACAAATCTCCTGTAAATCCTTGGCTGAAAAGGTGAACAATAATCTGGCTCATGACTCTGGAAAAAAACATTCTCCTTTTAAAATAGTTGTCATCAGTATAATCCCATCTTTAATTATAATTAATGTAAGGGGCTTTTATGTGCCAGGAGTTCAGCTTTTAGGAAGTAATACACTTCAGAATTACAGTGGAGATTGTTCTAAAAATGTCTAGAGTAAATAATAATAATGCATAAATACGTCAGAGATACAATGAAGACATTACAGCAGCAAAATCTTGAAACATCAAGAGCCAGCAAACATTCTGAGAGTGACTTAAAAAGAGGTCTTCTTTCTCCCTCTCTAAGTTACTGAATTGTTTTTCAAGGTCCTGTAAATTTTGGCCAGTACCAGGGGTATTTCAGAAGTGATACTATTGAAAAGTTTTAGGCATGTCAATCCAGCTATTCTGTAATGTCAAAAACCAGAATTTCCCAAAAATTCTCTCTTCCATTGTACCTACAATGCTGCATGTCTCCGTGTTACCAATTTAGTCATGAAAAATGTTACAACAGTAACATTTCTGTTGCAAAGAAAAAAAATGCAGTACTATGAAGATTGCTGGAGATTATACCTAATTATCCTGTATTGAAATGAAGGACAAAGAGGATGTCCTCTTAGACATCAACAGTGTTGAGATGACATTCTTAGCTCTTCAGAGATGTCTTTACTAGGTAACAATGAGGAAAGTTAAAAGAATTTCAGAATGCAATCAGAAGGATCTTTCCCTCACAGGGAATTTTCCCAAAAGATAAAAAAGATATATCTATTGAAGATGAACTCAAAACACATTTAAAAAACATTCAAAGAGAAAAAAAAAACTTAATTTTAACTTATTTATGAGGTTATTACATTTCTAAATGTGCATATATATAACATCAATACATTATTTGTAGATGTGGTATATTGAGTATTAGTGACTGCAAGTGTACTCCAATCTGTGGATCTTATTCCTTAAAACATTTGACATACTGAATGGTCTTTACTTCACTTGTCTCCCCTTCCACAGACTGTTAAGTGATCCATAAAAACTCTTTAGCATGTTTATGTTTCTTAATCATCACTACATCTGCATCGGGATGCCATTCCCCAGGTCTAATCATTTTATGGCAGGCACTTGAATGAGCATCTTTAAATAAAGATAGAGTTTTTTTCTTCTCTTCATTCTATCCAAACAGCATTGCAGCAATCTTTGTTAGGCACAAAATGCCAGCAACTTTGCACACGGACAGGAAGTCATTTAGTACTATGTCATATACCTGAAACTTTTCTGTTATTTCTTTTCTGAACTGCTTATCTATGATTCAAATGATACCTTATGCATTTAACGAGCATACTCTGACTTCAACAAAATTACAAAGCTGTCCTGCCCCAAACACTTTTAAAATGCTGTTGCTGGACTAATTTTTAATCTTTTAGCCATACAGCGATTACTTCATGAATCAAACCATGCTCCTCAGAATCATAATTTCACTAAAATCTTTCACATTTGACCTACTGTGAACACACAAATCTGTGGCATGTGACTTACCAAAAATATTCATTTCTGAAAATTAGAACGAGTGTATCTATAACTAGAGAGACAAAGTGGACGAATTGCTATGAATAAATTCTACAGCCTCATTTTACATATTCCATTTGATCTCACCTCAGGCTTGCAGCCAGACTTATTCTGCTTGAGCTGTCTAAATATGAAGCAAACCAAAAAGGATTAAACAAGGCCAGCTTGAACCCTAATGGGTTCAATTACATCCTATTGAACAAAATTTTATCTACAACAGCATCTGCTCCAAGAACTTCCAAAAGAGAGCATAAAAGCTATGAGTGGTTGTACAAGGAGATTCACCACCATGGGTGTCACTTAGCTCTGACATTTGCTAAATGTATGTGGTAATTCTTGAAAATTTACTGATGCAAGCGTTTGTCAGAATTTAACATTATTATGAAGATAAGCAGAGCCTTCCTCTAACATTAGGCAATTTCTGTTCCAATATATATTCTTTTTTAATAGACAAAAAATCAACCTTTCCTTCTAGCTGAAAATCATACCAACTCATTTTCAGAGTTCCTTGAATTTCAAAATAATTGAACCACACCTTAGAACTGAAAGCGGCTCCTAGCTTTGTGGACAGTGCCCATTTTAACAAGAAATTCTGATCATGTGGTCAGTATTTCCTGCTTTCCTTCATGGCTGTTATTGCGTGGCAACATAAACATAACTAAGGTCAGGGGTTACTTCCTTCTGTATACTGGTGATTCAATTAATAGCAATATATAAGTATCACATAAAGGTAGGGAAGGTGCTGAATGCCCCTGGAAAATTCTGCTGCACTGGAAAAGAGATTTCTTTGCTCAACTTACCTTTTCTTGATCTTGGCAGAGACAACAGTCACATTCAAAGCAATACTGGCGCTTCAGCTGTTTCTGTCGTTCACTGGTGGGCATCAGCGATTCAATATAGCTGACGGTGAGCTGTGTGCAGCAGATACAGAAACCAAGTTGGTATGTTTTACAGAAATTTTACGTGTAGCTAAAGTAACATTTTTTGACACAACTTTTTCTTATAGAAAAAAAAGACAACTTTTACAAATACAAATTCAATGGTTCAATGGAACACTTTTTCACGTTTCCAGATTAATAATGTTTGAAATTTTTAATCCTGAAAAAAAAAAAAAATCATCCTTATTCCAGATTTTCATCCAACCTTGGAGGAAAAAGAAAAAAAAAAAAAAAAAAAAAGAAAAGAAAAGAAAAAAAGAATGGAATTTCAGCAGCTGAAATCTCTGTGCATGAAATTTAATTTTTTTGTCTAGCTCTAAAGCTGAAGTGTGCATGTAACATCTGTGTTATACAAGATCTGATTATCTCAAAAAAATGTATTGGAAACAGTCACTTTCTTGCAAATATATGTTTTATGCTATACACGAGCCTGCGCTAAGCTTCTCTTACGTCATCCCTGTCTCCAGTCCCTCTGTGATGTTTCTTTCAAGACAAAAAAGCCATAAAAGTATTGCAGTCAAAATCGTTGAAACTATTGAAAAGAAAATGTATTAAAATGAAAAATAGAATAAAATGCTTAAATTTGTGCTATTTTAAACTCCTTGTGTTCCATAACATATTCCAGTAAATTACAGAGAACACTTGTTTGTTGACTTTGACATCTGCCAGAAGGAATTTTTCAAGGCTAACCATCTGTAGAGTTCTTCAAATGTTTAAAGTGCTGTGTGGGCACAAACTAATGATAAGGGAATGAATATAAAGAAATAACAGCCCATCTCAGACCAGCATTCAGAAATAAATGCCACAGAGTGATTACACTGTACACCTAACCCAACATGCTTTGAAACATTCCAGAGAGGTCAGAGCTAAAAAATCAGGTCATATTATTTCATCCTGAGCCTACCCACTTCAACTAATTGGGAGAATTTTCACATGGTTCTCAGTTTAACTATGAGAGTCCACTCAAAGTACTCACAGGAAAACCTGACCAATTTCTACTAATGACTATGAAATCCACTGTAAGAACCTGCATTTTTCAAATTAGCGAGTAGTCTAATTAAACAAGCAATTAGCAAGCAACTAAAATAATGCATGCATTTCTGTTTCGTTTATTATTACAATGCACTCTGATTACTTATTGAAGGAGGACTGTATTAAAACAAGATTACTGAGATAGTCAAGTCAAGCACTTAAAACAACCATAAGCAGAAAACCTGTGTAAAAAATATACGGTAATGTAATTGAAGATTGACAGTGTAGTTTATTAAAGAGACAAATTAAGTTCCACACATTATCAGAAGTCAGAAAGTTTAAGAATTTTGTTCAATTTTGCTTTCTAAATAATGTTCTGCCAAAGCTTGTTCACTTCTCAGCTGAGAGAAGAGTTGTTTCATGCTGCAGGTGGAAAGCAGAACAGTCTGTTCTAATCCTTTACACAGAAACAGTGGGCATCCTCTTGATCTCTCTGTGGGGAACGGGTGGAAATTGCTTTGCCTATTTCTTTTCCACTCTTCTCTGCCAAGTTTGATCTCTTCTGTCCCATTCTCTCCAATCTCTTCTTTTCATTCTCTCTTTGCCCTTGGACACGAGCATTGTTCTCCAGTCTTATTCTTCCTACCTAGAAATCTAAGCTTGGCTTCCAGCCCACGGTTCTAGCTCCTTACATAGCTCTTATTGGTACAAATGACTGCCTTAAGTCATCCAGTCAGTCTCAGATGTGCCCTTCTCCTTTCCCTGCATGCATCTTACACATTTTCCCCACATTTAATCACTGTTACTATGCCAAATTCACAATTCTTGTTCCCCTACTCCGGCCTTTTAAGCAACTTCAGTGAACCAATGATGATATGTCTTCATTTCTTCCTCTAGAGGGTCCTCCTCTGAATCCCCCTTGGTGTGGTAAGAAAGACCAGTCTCTTCTTTCTTACAAAGCAGTTTCCAGTCAAGCTGTAGGCCTAACCTCATCCTTCAACCATTCCAAGCCCAACTGTTCTCTCCCAGCACAAGTCCCTGATCTTCATGCTTTCTTGCAATTCACAATTGGTTTCCCTCAAAATTGTTCTCCATAATGGCTCATTGTCTCTTACCCACTTTGCACAAATATCATTGGTTCTGACCTATGCCCTATGGGGCTGGGATTAGGTGGCATACAGGAGAGAAAAAAAAGCATTTAATCAACATCAGTCACAGTGTAAGATCAGAAATCTTCTGGGAAAAAAAATCATGTGAGATTAGTGTATTTTTTGCTTCAGGGAGTGGCTTAAACACTTTAGTTACTGCTGATGCCATTATTAGACAGAGTTCGGTTTTAATGCTGTACAGCAAACCCACAGCTAGCATCAGACGTTGTATCTTCAACCTCAAGGCTTCAAGGCTTCATCATTTCTCCCTTTCTATTTCTGAATCTCTTTTTCTTTTCTTTTTTCTTTTTTTTTTTTTTTTTTTCCTCTTGCCATGTGTGTTGCAGAAAGTTGGAAAGCAGGAACAAGTTTGAAACCAGTAATTTCTTTTCTCAAAGGCTACTGAAGAAAAGAAGATATGAACCACTTAACAATCTGCTCTGGATTAGAACATCTGACTAGGCAGGAGGAGGAAGACAAAAAGCTTCATCACATTGATATCTTATTTTAACAACTTAATTATTTAGACCTTCTCTTGCCATTAGAAGTCCAAGTCCAAATTCCCACTCCTGACATAAGTGAAAAGAATGTTTGTAGCTGGTGAGTGGAAAAATGCAGTTAGAATATTTAAAAACATGACCAACCTAACGGTGACTAAGTCTATACTAATCATTTAACTGTTCAAACATAAAAATTCTGTATTCAGGTCTCATTCCTACACTTGCTTAAATTTTGGATCTCTTCATTAGATACAAGCTTTTTCATTTAACTTGTACATATTTATGATACGTGCCCATTTATCAAAGGTTGCCTTAGTGGTATTTGCATGTGGAATGTGTGGCATTAATTAAAACATTATTTCAGCAGACCAAAGCTTGCCTCTTTATTGAAGTGATTATGAAGAATGTAGTAAGTCTTTTTCCCCAAGCTGAAGAATACATATTAAATTGCATTTATGAAAGGAAGGAATTGCTTAAAAGTCTTAAGACGTATTGACTCTCAAGACCTTCTCTTTCGAAATGCAATACCATCTAAGCCATACTTCTTGCTCCAACAGAGAAATTCTTTAACCATGGGTATGGTGGATAGTTTCTCATGTTCCTCACGCCAAATTACATGAACAAGACTTTCCAGTACTACCATGCAGTGGACTTAATTTATGACGTCTTTTTTGTTGTTGTTTTTGTTTCATATAAGCCACAGAATTTTTAGACCGAGGATTCTGTAAGAATTTAAACTCCATTATAATTAATGCAAATGGCAGGGGAAAAAGAAGTAAGTCATCTTGGTTTTGCAATGAGTCTCAGGGTCTTAAGGTTGTGTAGAACCATCTGTTCTTAAGACAGAGTTACGTAGGTCATGAGGAGGCTGTGATTTTTCTGTTTTGGCATTTATGATCAGCATGACTCGAATTCCAGGAAAATCTTATACATCTCCGTTGAAAATCCATCAAGAATATATTTACTGCTGGTCATAGGAAATTACAAATTTTATTTAGTACGCATTTAAATATTAAGAGGACTGTATATTACGTGTCTTTCAACAGAAAATACACAAATTTGCTCTTACTGAACTCTGAAGTAGACATGAAGCCGCGCACACATTTTGGAGCAGAACTCAACACCATCTCATACATCCTGTCTCTCGAGTATGACTAATTGATTGGAGCTATGTACCAAACTAACCATGGCTATGCAACTTCTGATCGGAAAGTAGGCAAAGTGAATTAACAAAAAAATTGACAAAAATTACTTGCGGAAACCAATGGAAACACAGTGTATTTTTGTTTAAAACAGTAACTTTCTGCCTTCAAAAAGTATGCAGTTTAATAGAACCATAGTACAAAATCTGAACAATATACCCAATGATAACTCTGAACTTTTGTCTTGCAAAGTAAAATCTAAGGAAAAGACAATTCTCCATCTTCCCAGCTCTCTGTATTTATGATGATCCCTGAAGCACATTTTGCTTTCTTAAAGCCTTAGCTCTGGAAACCAAGTGATTATATATGAATCACATATTTAAATTCCTATAAAAACTAATAGTTATGACTCGCAATTTCTTAGTGCTTCAGGTAGTACTGGTAACACTGCCTTTGCCACAAAAGAGGACCAAAGAGGCTAGAATTTCTGCAAGTGATTTTAGAAATGATTGGTTTTCCAAATGCACATCATCAGATTTAGCACCTTTATTCCACAGGGATTCAGGCCAAAATTTTCTTCTGCCTTATGAGTCCTAATTTCCTACTGCCTATTTTTTGGCCCTAAATAAATTTGAAATCCCACACATAAATCAAATTAAAACTCATTAAATGCTACATGTCCTCCTGTGAAAAACATGCAAGGCCAACATCTGCCCAGACACAAGACTAAAACAAGAAAACTTCCATCAGGAAATTATTATTTTTTTAGGTTCTTACGGTCTTGCATACATTTTATCAGTGGTGATCAGTATAATTACTGTTTATAGCATGATCCCTCTAAAGTATGACTGAGGCATAAATCGGATTCCAAAATAAGTCTGCATCACACCACAGCAGACACATTCAGTATAACAGCATGTATACTACTGGTGCACAATTAAAGTAACATCTCCTGAGCTTTCTTTATAATTGTGAGATGACCACAACAACCAGTTGCCTCAAGTTACTCTGTCTCTGATCTGCCTGCGATTATAGGTGATCAACAACTGATAAATATGAGCAAATTGTTGTAGCGTTCTTTTACAGAAAGAACTAAAACACACAAAAACATTTTTGACTTTTCACTGCCATAGTGAATACATCATATTCCAGAGTTTGATACCTTTCTGGCAAGTGCTCAGAAGCCCTATCAAGTTTGCCCTCTATGAATAGTAATGCCCCAGTGCTCTTCTAATCTCATGCTGACTGTCTACTAAGCTTCTTATTTCTAATGAATCTTAGTGATTATTCACTTTCTACTAATTATTATGGGATCTCATTCTAAATCTTTATGCTTGAACAGCATCAGGCAAGTTTTCTACTGCTCATAATTACTTGAGATTTCTTGTTGACTTGACACAACGTCGATCATACCATCTCAGAACTTTTGACATTATACAGTATAATACCATAGACAATATAATCTACAGGTTCCAACAAGATTCATCCCAGAGTTCTGATGGAATTGGCTGACGTAATTGCCAAGACACTCTCAACAATATCTGAAAAGTCATGGCAGATAGGTGAAACCCTGGTGACTGGAAAAATGCAATGTTGGGTCCATTTTAAAGAATAGTAGAAAGGATAACCCTGGGAACTACCAACCTCTCACCCTCACTTCAGTGCTAGGGAACATCACAAAGTGAATCCTCCTGGAAGCTATGCTAAGGCACATGGAAGGCAGGGAATTGATATGGGATAATCAGCATGGCTTCACTAAGGGCAGGTCCTGCCTGACCAACCTAGTAGCCTTCTATGATGATGTAACTGGGTCAATGGACAAGGGAAGAGCCACTGATACCATCTATTTGGACTTCAATAAGGCTTTTGACACAGTCCCCCACAACATCCTTCTCTCCAAATTGGAAAGGTATGGATTTGATGGGTGGACTGTTCAATGGATATGAAACTGGTTGCCCTGGAGCATGTTCAGAGAAGGAAAACAAGACTGGTGAGGGGTCCGGAGCACAAGTCCTACGAGGTGTGGCTGAGGGAGCTGGGATTGTTCAGTCTGGAGAAGAGGAGGCTCAGGGGAGACCTCATTGTGCTCTACAACTTCCTGAAGGGAGGTTGTGGTGAAGAGGGGTTTGGCCTCTTCTCCCAGGCAACGAGTAGGACACGGGATAATGGCCGCAAGTTGCACCAGAGGAGGTTCATGTTAGACATGAGGAAAAACTTTTTCTCTCAGAGAGTGGTCAGGCACTGGAATGGCTGCCCAGGGAGGTGGTGGAGTCGCCGTCCCTGGTGGTGTTCAAGAGGTGTCTGGATGAGGAGCTATGAGATCTGATTTAGTTTGTGGTAGCAATGGTAATGAGAAGACAGTAGGACTAGATGATCTTACAGGTCATTTCCAACCTTGTGATTCTATGATTCTAATTATATTGTTTTATATGATATTATTATATACACTGTCTTATATGTCCATTAAAACAAGCTTTTCTTTAAGAACCAAAACTAGGAGCCATTAAAGTATCAAAGGAAACAGAACTTAAGCTTTCCAGAAAATTGTGACTTTCTGAGGCAAAGTTTCTTAGAAAACATGATATCCACAAGGAGTAATCATTTTGAAGTCCATATTCACACAACTATCCATCCAATTCACTGCTAAGAAATTAGTTCAAACTGTTCTACTTTATCATTTATATTTATTTCCTTGATTACCTTACAAATGACTTATAATTTGCACCATAACTACTTCACCACTGATTTTGACCTGGAGACTTCTGTGCTTTAGAGATCCATAAAAGTCTAAAATTTGTGTCACAGAGTCACTGCTGGAAAAATAAACTCATGTACATAAAAATAAGAATGTAGAGCTCTAATGATTAAAACACTTATACCCTGGGAAGACACTACAGTCTGCTTGTATTTTTAAATAAATAACCCATCTTTGTGAATCAAGAAGTCAAGATAAATGAACAGTGTGTATAAGTACATATAACTCGACTTGAACAAGAATGCCAGACAATAATAGCTACACTTACTGGCTCCACAGAAGCATATTGCATCCCATAAGATTTCTCTTGTCAGAAAAATTAAACATGCAAAAGCTTTGGTGTTGGTTCTCCTCAGCATTTTGCCTAACTATATATTTTACCATTTACAGATTCTGAATGTAGAAAAAGGATGCATTAAAAAAAAAAAAGCACAACAACAATTTAAAGGGAGGAAGAGATACTGCTCCCAAATTATAATGTGTACGCCCTTGATCTTCCTGGACATCGAATTACTGATGTGAACCATATTTACACGAGGTCATGATTATGAAATAACCAAGAGCTAGAACTGCACAGGTCATTGTTACATACCAAATTACTTATGCATTTCTCTTCGCAGATTTTACTAAGCAAATTCTGCACTGCGTTTCTCTGACAGACATTTACATCTAAATGCTTACCTAGCTACAAATGAATTGATTTCAAAATAAATGCGAATGCTATCTTAAAAACAAAGCTGTGAATAATTTAGAATCTGAAATCTCTTATGAGTGATATTTTGAAGTCTTTCCTAGTGAAAGGACAAAAAAAAAAAACCTGGCATTGCTACTTTCACTACCAATTAAGGGTTTACTACTATAGCATAGCTGCAGCCTGACAAATGCTTATTGTTGCAGCGACTTGGTGAACACTGCATTCCACTCAGAAATATTCTAAGTGTTTCCATCAGGGTAAAGACATTCAAACACAAACAAAATGAAGTGCCCAGAGGAGGAAAGGAGGAACAAGAATTTATCAAGACCGCTAGTGATTTATGGGAAGTAATGATTATGGGGCCCAGGCAGTGTGAAGAGATGATTCTATTAATCATTTTCTCCCTGATAGCTACGTGCTAAAAATTGGCATCAATATATCATCAAAATATTAAGCTGGTGGCCCTGCAGTCTGGAATTTATTTAGGGAGATGTCATTGTTGCAGGTGTTTGTGATGGAAGGGAGGACAAGTTAATTACCTCTTCGCCAATCTGGATCTCTCGGATGGAGCGAAGTAAAAGCTGGTATCCTTCAAAAATGATCACACAGTTTGGGTCACAGCTGTGATTCAGCAAAGACATGCTGTGAGGGGTTGTAGAGGAAGAGAAAGAAAAAATCTTTAGCACACTGTCATTACTGTGGACATAATTTAGAAGTATATAATATAATAACTATATTGCATCTTACATATCAAGCAATTAAGTTATCAATAAATAAAATCCTTTGAAGATGGCTGCTCATGCTTATGGGAGAAAAAATATCACTTAGCTACGTCTGTCTTCAAGTAGAAGCCATGCCTAATTTGTTCTCTTTAAAATCTGCATGGGAGGAAGAGTATGGAAGGGCATTTGCCCAGGATTTGGGAACTACAGATTTAAATTCACAATTTTCCCAGGTCAGAGTGATTTGAAATAGCAAAATTAAAGCTGCTTTGAATTGAACTGGGAAAAAATCTTTTTTTGCAGGGCATCATCAAAGAACACAGCTACCTTTTGCCAGTCAGGGGCTTTTTTCAATAGAAAGAAAACTTTTAACTAATAATAACGCTCCAGAATACTGTTCCATTTTTCCCAAAGTACGTGAAAAAATTTATTTCCATTCTACTCTGAAATCAGATGACTGTCCTGTGTTTTTCATAATATTAATTTCCCTGTCCTCATAGCAGTCTTTCCCTTATCTTTTTTTATCACAAAGCAGGCCTCAATATTGTGTCCTCGGTCAAATTGCGTATGCATGACATTAGTAGGAAAAGAAACAACAGCAACAGGCCCCTTTAGATCCTGACAATACAATTCTACCCTATATTCACACAAATAAATTAATTTAGTAAGATAAAATGTTCAATTATTCATGTTCAACATTGACAGGTACTGTAACAAAATCCTATGTGCATACCCTTACCTGGTACATCTTTCTTAACTAATGCAAACAAGAATTCAAATATCATCTTTCAAGGGGTTTACCTTTTTACCTTTCTTTCTTAGTTATGGTAATTTACTAATAAACATATTCAATTTTTTTTTCTTTTAACTGACAAATTAGAAGGCTCCTGGTTGCAAAATATTTATCCTTCAAAGCAACACAGAACATATTTCCATTCAATTTTTTAGGAAGCCTTAGTCACACATTTCTAATGTTAGCATTTATTCTTACTTAAGAATGACTACAATCCCCATAAAAATAGAGACACATCCTATTTAGCCTGCTTTAACTCTGTAATCAGAACTTCTAAGAATGCTTTCAATTTGATGACTGTTTTTTATTCTTTTCTAATTTATTTGCATTTCCCAGTTTCTTGTTTGAACATGTTACCTGCTACTTTGATGGTACTTACAGCAACCTAGGAAAAGAGGAAAAAAAAAAAACTAACAGATTTTGCCTGTGAATGAAACAGTGTCCATGGTACCTGGGATACAGGCCAACACCAACATCCTGCATCTCTCCATTACTGATGGTGAAACAGTTACAGGTCACCTGAAAAAACAAGGGAAAAAATCCAGGATTACCAGATTCACTTGGAAACCCCATACTCAAGTGAAAAAACTTTCAAAATAAAATGAAGGGGCAACTGGTAATTGGATGGGAAACGAGTCCAACACTAGCGCTCTTTCATTTAGGAGTAATCACATCTGGGACACACTCTCCTGTAAAACTGCAGTCAATTAAAAGCAGAAATAATAGTATCCTGCAAAAATGTGGGGTTAAACACATTCAGAGGCCTTACTTTCCTGTCCAGAGGGAAAAAAAATACCCTACACAGAGACTGAGAAGCTCAGCCCAGAGACTACGGAGCAGATGACAGTGACAGCAGATGAAAAGAAGTGGCTGCTTCCATGCTGATGTTCTCCTGATGCCAGGCTGTCACAGACATTATAATGAGTGCTACTGGAGCCCAACAAATATAGCTGGGTCAGTTTTAAAGTAGACAGCAGCCTTGACTGTTGGCAATGTGATAAAGGCAAAAATACATACAAAAATGGTACAATTGCCCATTTTTTGCTCTCTGGATATTTTGGTTTGCTTATACAAGATCACATAAAATAATTTTGAAACTATAATTAAAGATAAATATAAACTTTCACCTCAAATATTCCACTAGATATTGCATTCTTCCCTCTCACTCATACAAAATTAAAGTAGCTTTACAAAACAGTAGAAAAGAATGAAAGAATGAAAGTTTTGTGCAAGGAGATAAACTCCAAAATATCAAACAGGATAGCGATGTTCAACTCTAAGAAAGATCAGCAATTTGTAAATGATTAGCCACTATCACTTTCATGGGTCTAAGCAAGAACCAGAACAAACTCCTAATGGACCTTTAATATATCAGATTGCTTTTCTGGGGGCAAAACAGATTTATTTTTTTACTGTTGTTTATTTATATTTTTGATTATTTGTTGGCCAGTTATCAATGATACACTCATATAATACTTAATGCAGAAAAAGACTGCACGATACTTGCATATACAAGAGAAGTCTCAGGTCTGTTCTATATAGCATTAGATTATTAATGGCATTTATTCTCTTCAGAACTAAAAGATAAGTTAGAGTATGATTTGGCAGTTTTAAAAATGAGATCTGAAAGTTGCAGTTTTATCCATAGAGTAATTGCACAGAACATTAAATGCACACCTCTATTTCAAAGAGGTGCACTGAACAACTTAATAGTACATATTGACTTACAGAATTGACAAATTATTATTTATGAGAGCATTAACCATAAGGTAGGAATGAAATCCTCTTTCAAGATTTCTCATAAATTCTGACAGCAACATTAATCCAAATAAAAGTATATGCAGTAGAGTTTATGTTATTTTAAATGGTTAGACAATTCTATGATTAGTCTATTGTTTATCTAACCCATTCAAATGTTCCAGTTAAATTACCAAATACATCTTAATTATTTCTTTCTAACTGGCTCTGGATACAAAGTATCAGACAACTTCAGTGCAAAGATTAGACCATTTCAAGTGGTAATTATACTAGCTCTAAAAATATTGACTTGATTTAGGTACTTATTGAAAAAACAACGTCTTCCAGGTAAAAGAGAAAGAATGCCAGCTTATGTGGACCTTAGCTCTCTCTAATGAGTTGTGAAGTAGCAGAGGTCAGACATTTCTTAGAAGTAAATGAATCTCTCTTCCTTGCAAATCTCCTATTATTACCATAAAACTGTTTATATTTAACAATATGGAATTTTTATCACTGTAGAGTTGTAGAGACAATTCCATCATTTTCTAGTAAAGGTATGTGCTCTATTATCTATGTGAAAAGTTTAACACACAGAAGTCATAACATTTTTACTTTTTGCTTTCTATAGGGCATACTTAAAGGAAAACGTGAAATGAATGGATGCTTTGAGATTCAGATACCAAGAGTGTCTTTTCAATAGTAGCTTTCTGTGAGGCACTTATCCTGTTTCATATGTTTTCATGGTATGCAGTTGCATCTCAATATCCTAATAAATTAGTGGAATATCATCTAATTTCTAATTATTTATGGTTTCCAATATGCAACTGGGAGTCAGAAGCATTCAGAGTCACATCTAAGGAGATATGTAGGTACCCAAACACAGGCAGAAGTCTAACTGCTCCTATGAATTTTAGGCTACATGATTTTGCTCATAGTCTGACCAGATTAGCTTCCTAACAGACAATCTATCTGTTAATTTCAGGTATGGAAAAAAATTAGCCAGTGATGCCCATGCAAAATGTAATACAGATGCTGTCCTTTGTTATGGTTGCTCTGTCTGCAAGTGGAGAGAGAGGATGTGAGATAGTGGTGATAAATAATACCACCTATGACACAAGACATTCTGATATACTGACAGTCCGCCACTGACAGTTTGCAAATGGTAACAGACATAATAAACAAAACGTCTATCAAAGTTCATCAACTGAGAGTGGGGTTGTTGGTTTCCTTTTATGTTTGTTACAAAGTTTCTAAAAATCTTCTGAATATCCCCTACATTTCTGTTCACATACACTTTTAAGAGGTTTCCGATCTCCCAAAGTTAAAAATGAATCCTGCCAAGGGGACTGCTGGAGTTCCAGTCCACCAGTTAAGGCCATAGGCAGTGCCTTGCATGGAAAAAGAGCAAGAAGGAATTTCTGTTACACAAGACCTGAAGAAAAATCCATTTTCCTAGATTCCTGGGGGTCAGTGTCGCTCAGACAGATGAACTGCATTATCCTCAGACAGATGAACTGCATTATCCTACACTGCTCAGAAGAGCAGTGGAGAAGAGCACAGGTACACTGCTTGTTCCAAGATAAGGTGAAGAAATAAGTTATGGATCAAAACCTGTTGTGCCTGAAAGTTAACTGACTCTATTTCCAAGGGGGAAAAAAAAAATCAAGCAAACAATGCCTCTCTCATGTGTATTTCTATCAGGTTTCATGGTCATCTTAACAGACGCGTCTTAGTCCCAGTACAATGATCTTCAAGGTTCTGATTCTCTGTGAACCCAGATTTAAAAATAAGGAAGAATAAACAATTCAGGGCAATCTGCTGCTTGAAGATATGATTTCTTCCCTACAGACACATGGCCTTTGTCATCTTAACTCCTGCAGCATCATTTATCACTGTTATTTAATTTGTGTTGTAGTTCAACTTGTCCTTTTTGATTCCTCTAAACATTCTTTTCTGTACAGTGCCATAGCACTGTAAGTGCATATCCACACATAGAGACAGAACAGAGTGTTCAGAGTTTGTCATGCCCATAAATAAGGAAAAATGTTCACATGCTTCAGAACTTCAAAGCTGAAAAGTCAAATTCCTCTGTCACTTCTAAATTTTCTGAAATAACACATTTCCCAGCATGAAAATTGAGGGAAAATTCTCACAGCAGATTCACAGACTTTTCAAGTCTCCACAGGGCAACATTTTTTTAGGACTCTCCTGGAGTTCTCAAGGCTTCACATCACAGACTGATTGGCCATACAATTCAATGACAATTTAAAATATCATTCCCTCAGTTTGCACTGTGGCAATAAATCTTGCCAGTTTATTCAAAAGGAACTGCTATGTCAAACAACAAACAATACCACATGCACTGGTGGATTTAAATAAAAGGATTTGCTCTTTTAAGAGACTGTGCATGTTTTAGAGAGGCATTCTGTACTCATAAGGTAACCCAGGAAGAAGACAATTTTTCCCAAACTAGCAAAGACACAGGGTAGTCCAACTGACTACTATTCCCAAATATACTTAATCAGCAGCAAATAAAAATTGCTTCAATTTGTTACATTTTATTTCTTCTCTGAATGGAATATGAGAACTCTGTAACTTACTTCAAAGGAGGTCTCTGTTCTCAGGGCATCTGAAGCTACTGTCTGAGCAATCCCTGTACCAAACCCACAGTCCAGCAGAGAGACATGAAGATTTATTCTGGTGTTTCCATTTGACAGAGTATGAAGGATTCAGTTTGGCAACATATTCCACTATGTTTGTGTTCATTATTAGGCCTATCCTAATCTGAAGCTTTCCTGCTGACTGTGGGTGACCAGGGCCCCAGTTCAGTTTTCATTAATATCACTTTACACTACATCTTCGTACTTGGGTTAAACAAAGCAGACTCAGATCTGATAGCATGACCATCTAGATTTGGAATTTCAGAACTAAGAACATGGAAAATTGGAAATTAGTATTGGTTAATGCCTGCTGCACAAATCAAATTACAAATATCAGGACTAATAATAAATCATTTTGTCTCTACAGGTTTCCATATATTACTAGAACATAGTGAGATAGTTCTTATAATATACACACGTAACCTGCACAAGAAGAATTAATAAAGGGCACTCTGCACAAATTTGGTCATTATCATCTTCAGCTTTGCTGCAGAATGAATCCACCTCTGTAAATGGTGTGTCAGAGCTAGTATAGTCTAACCTACCACCAGGAAGGAAGCCATAACTTCTTTCCCTAATTCATGAACCCAATGTAATGTAAATTAAAAATACAAAAAGCCGAAGTTCACGGATTAGTAAATTTCTCATTTACATGAAAGCTGTCTGGATATTCCTGACCATTGGCAAATATTTCAGAAACAATGTTTTAACCAGTTGTCACACTGTGACATTATTCTCAGGAGACTCAAATATTAGTCAGGTAGAAGGATTGGACAGTAAATGCAAGGGACACAATAACTCAAATGACAAGCCCCAGAAACCTCCTAGAACCACCATCCCCCACTGTAGCTCTGTACTGATATCTTCCCCATTTGAGGATGAACAAATACCAGGCACAGATGGTTGACAGATCTCAGATCTCCTAATGACTGTATTTGGCACACAGAGTGCTAGAGAAACAGTACCAAACACTGCAACATGGCTCAACAGCAAATGCATGGCATGCCACAGTAATGACAGACCAGTTAAGCTTGTTTTTGATGTCTTTCATTCAGCTGCTCATAGCCAAAGTCCATGGCACCCAGACAGGCACAGAACTCCCTTGCTCTGAAACTTCAGCTG